GGAGGGCACGTAGGTTGGAGTGCAGGGGGCGGGAGAAAGCAAGGCGGGCACTGGGTTACAGAGCGGTTAAGATTATGTGGCTTGAGGGTGGTTTTGCTTATTTCAAAGGTGGGTTAATCTAGATATGCGAGAAAAATGGACCGGGCTGGCTTCGGGCAAAGATAAACCTCTTGCTAAAAAAGTTACGTGCCTGGGATGTGACCACCTGCCAGGACCTGCCCATTTAGGAATTTCTGATCAGGCCACCCTGTGGGGTTACCTTCCCTAGGGCCCCCTTTGCACCCTCAGTACTAAGAGGAGGAGGGTCCTCCATAGCCCCGGTGTCGTGTTCTCGGGTTTTCCTGAACACCGAGGTGAGGCACCGGGGGACAGGAGTGGGGTCTCTTCTTCCTCTGAGATCTCAGCAAGCGCCACACGTGATGTGGGTAAGTAACCGGTAATGATGTCCAGCTTCCCACCTTGCGAAGCGGTTTTCCGGCCTGTGCGTTTGTCCTCCAGCTGCGCAGAAAGCAGTGAGTTTCCGGGAGGAAGCTGGGAGGCCCTCCCGCTTCCTGAGGAGACCCCCAAAGGGAGATGCCTGCTGGGCGGGGACCCAGCCCCGGGGCCAGAGGTCCTGGGGAGGCGCTCGGACCATCGGCTGCGTCGTGCAGTGTAGACGACCAGAGTCGTCGACGTAAGAAACGCCCGGACCTGCAGAGAACTGTTGTAAGAGTTCATCTCAGCCAAGCCGGTGGCGCACGCCGCCGGGGAGCAGGATCGCAAGTGCTCTGGAGAGGGCTGGTTTCGCAGCTCTTCTGTGTTGGAATTAAGGCGGGAGTACCCGGGGGTGGGAGGAGGCAGGGCGGGGATTGGGTTACAGGACAGTGAACAAGATCATGTGCTCTCTTGGGGGTTACTACCCCCTCCGAGGGGTCGTGCTTCTGGTGTTTCAAAGGTGTGTTAACCCAGATGCGCAAGAACAGTGGACAGGGCTGGCTTACAACCTTTCACTAAAGAGGCCATAGGCCTGAGGCACGACTGCGCACCCTGAGCTGCCCCGTTAGGGATTTATGATCAGATCACCACCCTGTGGGGTAACTGTCTGTAGGCAGGGGGGTCCAACCTTTCAGTGTCTCTGGGCCCCACTGGAAGAAGAGGAGTTGTCTAGGGCGACGCATCAAATACACAAACGCTAACAAAAACTGATGAGTGAAAAAAAGGCTTTATGTAAACCTATGATTTTGTGTTGTGCTTCACTCATAGCCATGCTGGGCCACCTGCGGGCTGCGGGCTGCGGGCTGCGGGCTGGACACCCCTGCTAAGAGCTCTTTTCTCTTCCACATTATGATATATAAATTATAGAGGATAAGATAGAATCGTCTAGAAGGTAAACAATGGCCAGAAATGTGATGTGCTATGATGTGACATAATATAAACGGTAGCGAGTATATAATAAACTCTCGGATGAGAACTTTGGGCGCTCTCTAATTCAGCAGCTTCATTTGATGGATGAGGACGTGGGGTCCCGGAGAAGCTGAGATATCGGCCCAGAGGCCCTGAGCGACCCAGGAGGGAGTGGGCCCCCTGCTTCCCAGTGGCCTTTAGTTTTCCCTCGGATTCCCTGGCAGATGTGGAGCTGGGCAGCTTCCTGGTCGTGCAGCCTGCACTCTGTTTCCCGGAAGCCAGCGTCTGTGAGACTGTGCTCCATTATACTGTAAGGCCTTGAGCAAAATCTCGGACTGTACTTTGATCTTAGATTAGTGTTTGCTGAGCAAGTTCGGACTCTTTGGAACTTGACTATTGTGAGTTTCAGCCCCGTAGAGGAGCTTTATCACCTGCCCGGAGGGTTACTGATAATGCTTCAGTGATAGGGAAAATATTTGGGGGCGCGTGTAGTCCAGAGGGCTCTGCTGATGAGTTTCACCCAAATTTTATATGTACAGACATACAGACACACCATCTCATGGGGCAGTGGTGGCTGCTGTTACTAGTCACTTATCACACTGGGTTCGCATATTTCCTTGTCGTCTCTTTGGGTGGTGAGCTGCTTGTAGGCGAAGGAGTGGTGCTTAGCAGGCTTTCGGGAAAGAACGAGTGAGTGAATCAATGGACCAAAAAAGTGTCAGCAGTGCTGGTAAAACACTGAAGAGTTGGCATGCCTTAGTTTTCATCCTGTTTATTATAATGCAGTTAAGATTATTTTTTGTATTGTCGGCACTCTTAGATTCCTATGTTCACGGGCCCCTGAAACCCATATACTTTTATTAAGCAATGTCACCCCAATAAATTCAGTTTAGAAATATCTTAACTGGTACTGCCTGGCTCGGAGGCGGCAGTCATACATGTCGCTGAATGAATGAGTGTTGCTTGGAATGCAGCTCTTCTTTTGGCTGAGCGGAACATTTCAGATGCACCTTCTGATGTGTAAAAAAAGGTACTCCAGTGCTTTAAGCAATGATTCCTCCAGGAGTGGACCCTCTGCAATGAGAGTTGGTTCCGCAAAACCCACAGGAAATCCAGCAGGTAAGGGACGCGTGTTCATTGATTCATTCCTGAGAAGGGGGGGCGGAGGGCACTCTGAAATGATGACACATAAGGGGTCCGTGGTTTTCCTGCTCAGATGAGAGCGGCTTGCCCTTCTCTCCTGCAGCTGAGAGGAGGCGGGGGCCTTGCGAGGCTGTGGCTCTGGAGGCCTCTCCTGGGAAGCGCCAGGAGGGAGGAGACGCCGCCCAGCCTGGTCAATGTCCCTCTGCGTCCCTGTGGGTCTTATCTTGGCCGGCTCTCCCGCCCTGTCCGCTGTCCCCAGGCTGATGGCCTTCCATTCTTCCTCTTCTGCCCTGCCTGAGCCCAGCCCTTTCATTCCCTGCCTTGGATCCAAGGGCATATTTGACACCTCCTTAAAATTCTGCACGTCAATATCCATGCTCAAGTAGGAAAAAACAAGATACTGTAGATAAGCACCTTGCTCCCGATAACCTGAAGACCAGGAAATCTCTGAGGTCGACCCAGAGCTGCCTTCGTTGGTGCCGGCAGGTGCTGATTTGTGTACTTGTTTTCGTTTAGCTTCTTTTGAGTGGATTCTCGTTGGCAGGTCTCGGGCTGGTTAGTAACGAGGAGTTGTTGGCATAGGACATTTGGGATTCATGAGTGTTTTGTTCATAGTTAAAGCACAACCCCACGCTGCGAACCTTAGAAATAAAACAAAATCTTTTATTCCAAATCATTGAAAGTTTGCTTCCTTCCTCCCTCCCTCCCTCCCTCCCTTCCTTCCTTCCTTCCTTCCTTCCTTCCTTCCTTCCTTCCTTCCTTTTTGCATCTCTGTGTCCTTACTGTCATGATGCTTGTGGACAGGGACACTAATTTTGGTGTTACCTGGAATGTAAGTTCTAAAATATTGCTAACCTGGCTAACATGAATGAACATCCCTATGTGAGTTTGTATTCTTTACTTACGTAAGGCAAGTGGCTATTGGCAGATGTGACATAGGCGGCAGTGACTTATCTCTGATAGTGTAACTTGGGTAGCAGAAAAAAATGAAGTCAAATGATTCCCTCAAAACCAGGGGTTTTTGAGTATTTTTTTAAAAACTGGGTATTTAGTAAACATATGGTGTAGGCCAAATCGAAATTGAGCATCAAAATGTTCTTAACGAAAAGTAACTCATTAAGTTTTCTGTTACGAGTTGCCCATTTTCCAAGCAGATCAGTATGAAAATACAACCCCCGAGTGAGGGGCTTGCTCTGTAGTTGGGCACGGGAGGCCTCGCTGCGAAGACCGTTCGCGGGATGGGGTTGCGTGCGGAGCGGGTCGGCGGGGGGCTCGGACCGGGGGTTCTGGGAACTCGGAGAGGAGGTCCGCGCTCTCTAAGGTTGGCCTGTGGGATGACTGGGCAGCGGGGGAGCGAATTCAGATAATACGGGTGTGAGATGAGGCGGAGCTGGACTTTTGCTGCTGAAGTAGGAATGGCAAAGGGCGGGGGGTAACTAGAGCAGTAGCTTATTTGATGCGTGAAAGTGCAATTAACCCTGATTTGTTGGCCTCGTGTGGCGGAGGGGTCTCCTGCCTGGGGGAGAGGAGAAGCAGAGTCTTCAGTCTGGAGGGCTGACGGGAAGGGACGATGGGTTGAGTGTTGGACGTTCTGAGTTTCCGGCGGTGGGAGGCCTGGAGACGCGACGTCGAGCAGGAGGTAGCCGAAGGGGGACAAGACGGAGGCTGGGTCTCAGGCCAGGAGCTGCCTGTTTTCCGCAGGGGTAAGGGCTCCAGTCACGGCTGGGGACGACCTGCAGACTGATGGCCGTGTCCTGGAGGTGCCAGGGGGTTGAGAGAGGGAGCCCCGCCCATGTGTCATGAGTGACAGGGTTCAAGGGGAATGACACAGAGGCCACTGGATTTGGGACACTTGCACACTGAGAACAAAGTTCGAGGGGAATAGTTGGAGTTGGAACCCAGAGTCCGGGAACTTCACGATTAAGTAGGTGATAAAGAAATGAAACCAGGGGTGGCGAGGGCGGAGGAGAGAAGAGGGAGGCGCGCTGGTGATGGACAGAGACGTGACTTGGGGCGGTGGACACACGACACGGCGCACAGATGACGTGCTGTGGAATCGGGCCCCTGAAACGTGTATAATGTTGTTACCCAGTGTCCCCCCAATCCGTTCAATAAAACAGGGGAAAAAAGAGAAAACCAGGAAGTGCAGGCCACATATGTGTTATGTTCGTGTGGTTCTACCATTGCCTGCTTTGCAATCCTTTTACTTAATTAAGGTCCTGGCAGGGAGATAAAAGGAGGTGGAACTCAAAACTGTCCAATTAGTTCCCTGTTGAGAGACTGGTTAGAGTAACTGGAGGGCACTAGTAGGGTGAAGCCGTTGGTTATTTGGATGCCTGTGAATCAGTTATAAACTGGCCCTTATTCCTGAAGTTAATTGAAATTTGATTGCAACTTTAATGAAAATAACATGAGCACAGATGTTACTGAAAATTACATTTTTACTAACTACTATTTTTTTTTTTAAATCTCAGTTTCTATGCAGATTTCGGACCTCTGAACTTGGCAATGGTGTACAGATACTGCTGTAAACTAAACAAGAAACTAAAAGTGAGTATTGCGGTGATGTCTGTGTTTTGGTATTAAAAACTGGACCGTGAGGCTGACCGATGAGAGCGTTGTGTGCATGCCATTTAGTTGGGTAACACTGATCTTGGGAAATTGATGGGAGTCGTTCACGCAGAAGCTGAAATTGATCCTCCTGGGTACCCCACAAAGGACATGTTAACCTCTTTCATTTTTCAGGATGAACTGACATATGAGCTGAATGAAGTCATTGCAACAGTGATCTAAGAAAGAAAGCACAAAACCTTCCAGGTTGTCGTTAATGAGTCTATCAAATTCCCTCTGAGGCTGGCTTTCCTGAAAGCTGTGGTCTGCTCCTGGGCAGGGTTACCGGGTGCCGAAGGGGCTCACCCCCGCTTGGTGGGGGCCCTGGCTCAGACCGCTTTCTGCCCGATCAGGATCTAGGTTTTTGCGTATTTCTTGAATGGTGCGTCTCTGCAGAGTTAACGGCCGAGTAAGAGTGATGAACCAGCAGGGGCAGGGCATGGATTTTACTGGTTATGGCAGAATTTGGATCATACGTTGAATGTTCGTCTAGATTTTTTATTTTACATGTGGCTTTTTTTTTTTTTCCTGCTCTTAGACTCTAAGCATGTTACTAGAAAAGTGACATTGGTATTCCTAGTGTTGGTAAACCCATTTCATTGCGTAGAAAGAAATATTTATTTTTTCTTCCAATTTTCTAAATGAGGATCTAATATAGAATGTTTCCGTATGGAAGGTGAAATGCTTCACAGCATCCTCGTAAGGATACCGGCTAAATTACACGGCTCGCGTAGTGTATTCATGCCGTGAGATGTTCCTGGTGGGACCGTGCTGGTCCCTGTAGCTGCTGGTCACCTTTCGCTTGGATTTTTCTGAACTTAGGTATAAAAGACAATCTGTGGTGGAGAATTTCCTGTAAGATACGTTGTGTATTGATGAACTCACACATTTTTGCCATTGAGCTCAAAAGGCCAAATGGCCATCACATGCCACCAAAGTTATTTTTAAAGTCAGTAATTATATAACCTAAGATCTGTCGCAATGAACTTTTTAAGGAGTTAATTTGTAAAGTATTGTGTGACTCGAAGAGATGTGTGTAACTTTCCCTAAACCGATCTTCATTTTTCAGAAAAGAAGCTGCCGCCTACAGTTTAAAAAGTTGAAATTTTTGTAATCACCACGGAAGCACATAATATCCTAACATGGATTTCCTGTAAAAATATAAAATGGACTTTTAGTGGATGCGTTAACGAGGGAAAGATGATTTGTAAATAATAGTGGCCCATTTCTTCCTCGAAGGACCCAGGGATTTCCTTGCTTTCTTGGTTGGACCTGTTAGTATGTATGTGGTTGATGTGAACTGGGTACTGTAACGAGCAATTTGGGACCTTGCTACTTAACCTGCAGGGATCGAAGAGAAAGGAATCACTATTAGGACAAGGCAATTTCTGTCTGACTTGGTGCGCTGCTTATAGCAATTACACAGGTAGACGGACTGAATAGGACTGTTTGTTACTGTGCTCTATACTGAACACCGTGTGGGTAAGTGGGTCCATGGGCTCGTTTTGAGGTGTTTTCATTTACAGAGCTTTCCTTCGACATGATGAAAGTTTAATAAAGCCCGAACTGTCCCCTTGGTCCACTTCAGGTATCTGACGATCTAGTGGATGCCTGGAAGGACACGTCCAGCTTTAGTACAATTAGGGGGCACCCTGTTAGGTGCTGGAGGAATGTATTTTTCAAAACCCAGATGTTAAGAACTTCCAGGTTATGTCAAAGCGCACCCATCTCTTTATTAGGAGAAAAAAGACTGGTTTTACCAGTTGAAAGCTGCAACTGCTTCCACCTTGTAGAATCTCTTTCTTTCTCTAAAGATCATGGAGTTCTCACGGAGAGAATTACAGTAGCAAAAATATGTAGAAGAGCTTTATGCATTTTGAAGTCCCATACGGAAGCACGTGACTCATGGAACGTTTGTGACTGCCGGTAGGAAATCCAATGAAGGCAGTTCTTCCGCGAAGTGTAGGAACCCCTGCGCAGCCTTCTGGCCGCCGTGTGCATGTGAGGAAGCTGCCCGATGCGACTTCAGGAGTCGAAATGGCCATCGGGTCCAGGCTGCTGATGGCAGAGGCGCGGAGGGAGGCCCCGGAGGCACGTGGCGCGCCCAGGGCCGCAGGGCCGAGTCGCGGCCAGCGCGCCAGGCTCTTGACCGTACTTCTTATCCGTGCCCCTTCTCTCTGCCACGGGTGCGCAGTCACCTCCCGCTCGCTCACAGCGCTGCCCGACTGCCTCTCGAGGCGCCTCCGCCTCTCGGTACCAGCGACTGCCGCTCCAGCCGCGTTGCTCCCCGGAACCCAGGCTCCAGGCTGCGCTCACCTGACTGTGTCTTCTTGTTACACACCCCACGTTCGGTTTCTCAGCCCTGTGACATCTCAGACTCCCGCTGGTCCGTCAGCTGCCTGCTGCGGGCCTTGCCGGCAGCCCAGGGTCACCTGCTGCGGTTGCCTTCGGGCACCTGGCTTCCGTACCTTCTGTCTTCTTCGCCTTGACCCTTCCACCCTTGGCGCGTTTCCCAGTGGGTGAGGTCCTGCCCGCATTTCACTGATTCACTGCCCACGGCGGCCCCTCTGAGTGCCCCGCCCCGCCCCGCCCCGCACTTTGCCCCAGACCACACTGCCCCGCACAGTGGCCTGTGCCGCCCGGGTGGCCTGGAAGGCCCTGCCCTCTCTAGTTGAATAGCTCCTCGTTCCCTCAGACCTTGTTCAGGCACCTCCAGTTCTGGAAGACGCTCCCTGTCCTTCCGGACGCGGCTGGAGGTGCCTCCCCGGTTCATGCAGGAGCCCATTCCCGGTCAATTTTAATTACTGCCTGCTTGCGTCTGTCTTTCTCCCTAGACACGAGCTCCCAGGGCACGGAGACGTGCCTTGGAATTTTGCGTCCCCAGTGCCCAGCACAGGGCCACCAAACACGGGGAGACAAGTCAGGGTTTGTGGACCTTGACTGACCGGGCCTCTCACCCCTTCCCGCTAGCCTGCCCTCGGCCTGTGGACATCCTCGTTCCGCGCTGACTTCTCAGTCCTCTGCCGTGTCCCCTCTGTCCTCCCGACTCACTGAAACTGCCCCAGTGTCCTCCGAGTCCCCTGAGCGGACGGCAGGTACTTACTGGGCCCTCCAGTTCCTTTCCTTCTCCGAATAACTTGGCACTATTTTAACAGTAACAGCATCTTTGAATTCTCCCGTGTGGTTTCCTAGCTCTGTCAGACACATCTGAATTTCTACTTTGGAAATTTTTATTTTTCCTAGTAAACCTCTGATGACTCACTCTCCCTTTCGATGATGCCTTGTGTAGCTAAGTGATGTCTCAGAGTGAACGCTCTCCCAAACGCAGATTTCCTATTTTTCAGATGTTCCAAGGTACTTTTCAAGTTGGTGGTTCGAGGGGGCTGACATACTGCTCTTTTTTTGGTGCGCATGTCAGTAGGCATTTAATTCCCAATGGCGTTTGTTTTAATTATGTCGACGAGAATGAAAAATTCTCCATCAAACATCTGCTTCGATTAAAAAAAGCAAAACGTAGAAACTGCCATCGCCAACCAAACACCTGTTTCTTATTTTAAACTATCCATTAAAAAGTGCAAATACGGGAATTAAGGAGGGATGGGCTGTCGTGGGCTGTTTCTGGTCCACGGTTGCCATAACGAGGGAAAGAGAGGAAGGGTGATCTATGCAATGAGCGCACTTTGTAAAGCTGGGTAATGACTTAATGTGAAATGTCATCCATGATGGATAGGCCAGACCAGCGATGATTACACTGGTATTTTAGAGGATTCATAAACTTCTGAAATTATAAGTCACATTGGGTATGTGTTGACATTTTTCCTCAGAGAGGATTTTTAACCTTTAGCAGGTCCTGGGAGGGACGGTTGGGCACAGAGCAGAGGACACCGCGTGGGACCCGCAGGGCTGCTGGGCAAGGCGGCTGCCCTCAGGGAAGACCAAGAAGGGCGCCTTCAACACTGACCACCTTCCTCAGACTCAGTCCTGGAAGAAAATCTTGGCTGCTGATTCAGTGATCTGAAAGTTTTACAAATGTGATATGATTCAACCAGCTTTTTCTAAATTAGTCAATGCAGTTTTAACTGTTGATTTCACTTCCCCTCAGAGGAAAATAAAACCCTAGCCTGGGCCAGGGGCGTGGGGGAGGAATCTAAGAGTGTGACTGAAAAAAAGGGGACATTTTCTAGGGCAGTGATTTTTTTTTTTTTTTAAAAAAACAACTTTCTCTGATGAATCAACAGGCCAATTACAGTCCTCTTGAGGACTATTTTTAAAGGTCTGAAAGCATATTGACAGAAATGTAATTTTCAATGTACAAAAGAGTCCACGCGGCCCTTTCCGGGTAGAACAAGAGGGGTGGGCGTGGGGAAGCGGCCGATTTTCCGGGCGCTCGAAGGGCCTGACAGGCAGCTTGGAGCTCGGGGACCGCGTGCTGTAATCCTACCCGGTAACTGGGCACCGGCCCCCGGAGCGGGGCGTTGTACACAGGAACTCCTTTGATACAGTGATCAGACCACCCTCTCATTAGAGCCACAAAAACATGTTGAGATTTCTTCACGGGGTTATCTTCTGTTTCAGGTTCATGAGCGTGGGGAGCGGGGGGAGCCAGCCACCTTCTGGAGCGAGTTCATGCCGTTTGAAGAGGTGTCAGGGGTCCAGGCAGCTTTAATTTGCGGGCAAGGGGGCTTCCGTGGAGCTTGCAGGGCCTGGGACCCTTGTGGCCCTTTAGAAATCCCCAGGCGAGAAGAGCCCCCTTTACAGAGGATCCCCAGAAGCTTTGGGCGGTGGTATCGACAGGACCAAACGATGTCCATGAGCCACTTTGCTCTGACGCTTGGACTTCGACCTTCATCAAATGTGCCGTCTCATGAATGCGATACACTGCGTTTGAAACGAAGCGGGCCCCACAGAGACACCCCTCCCCCCATTTTTTTTTTTTTAAACGAAACCATTCAACCTGTTTCTCTGGCGCTCTGAATGAAAACGTAAACCGTATTTTGTTTTGTGTACAGCCAAAGACAATTTTCAAGAATATCCCTTTCCTGGGAAAGTTGGAGGTAAACCACATAGAGGTCATGGCCGCTCACAGGAAGACCTGCTTGTTTTAATCGCTTTGGCAGTGCGAGGGACCACTGTTGCTATGGAGACACTGATTGCTGAGGCCATTGCTGGGCTAGCCTGGTCACCTGAGAGAGAATGATGCTTTGCGCACCATGGACCGCGGGCTGTAAGCTGCTCAGTGTGACCCCCGTGGCCGGCAGAGCCTGCTTGTGTGGTAGGGCGGTGCCTGGGCTGTGTCTGTTGTTAAAGATCCCATAACCAGGTTGCGCTCTGGGCCGCCCAGCTCCACGGGCTGACTCACTCAGCTGAACGAGACACAGTGTTCTCACCGAGCCACGGGGAGCCGTCACTGTTCAGCATGGCACGCGGAGGGCTGCTGAAAAATCGCCTTCTTTAAATTGGCCTTGAACTCCCTTATTTTCTGGCTTTGTGCTTCCTTGCCGCACCTATGGGCTGTGAATGGTTCCGTGGTCTGTGGTCTCCTGTCCTGAGCATGATTTGTGCATGTCATCACCATCGTCCACGGATGGCCCGGGCCATTCGTGATTGGGCAGCCTGTCCTCATTTTCTCCCTCTCTCCCTCCCTCCCTCCCTCCCCGCGTCGCTGGCTTGTTTCTCACAAGGAGGGGACCCACTGGAATGCAAACCTTCCCGGAGCTTTCTTCTCCGAGATAGAAAATGGGGCTAGTACCTTCCTTTTAATTTATGTTGTTCTATCATAGCAGTCATGGTACTTTGGTTTACAAGGGCCATTAACTGTTTACATGCTCTATGGCACACTTGTCATGGTTTACACGAGAGAGCTAAAACTTTGATTCTCCCTCAGGTGAGCAATGCAGGTCTGTAAGTTTCTATAGGTTCAATTATGCTAATTGATAGATACGCAGAACTAAGTCCCACCTGTTATTTGTTGTTTTTTTTTAAACCTGTTTGACAATTACTGTACCTGTAATTAAGATCATTGCATTGGCTTTGCTGTGGTAGGACTGCATCGCAGGGTGGTTAGTCTCTTTCATTTGGACTAAGCCTTGGCCAGTACTTCCCCCTTGTTGAGGGTCAGATATTCTTCAGGCTCTGAGCACTTAGAGACCAGAGACTGGGGCACCACGCCCCTCGTGGCCACATTGCTGAGCCCTGTGCTTGCCACACAACCGCTGCTCAGCTCATGCTGACTGAACCAACAGGTAGGGTGTTCTTCAGCTGTGGTATCCTGGTCCCCACATTGAGTGACCGGGCGGCCTATGGGCTGCAGTCGGTCCACAGACCTGTTTTGGGAGGCGCGATCACTGTTTAAAATGTTTCAATTCACGGTGCCCACTGGCAGTTTATGAAAATTTCCATTAAATTCTGGGTGTCTGGCCGACAGGTGTTGCGGTATCCGATGCGGAGGGCAGATCCCTGCATGGGAGCAGCAGGTGGGAGCTCAGTCTGCTGGCGCAGGACACGTGTGTCCTGTTGCTACTGGATTTGGAACCTGTGGAACGGTGTGAATTCAGGCAGCTTAGGTACTGGAGCATTAAAGGAACTTGTTCTGAAGGTGTCATCACGCAAGGATTTACAAATCGTTATAACGTTTTCTGCGGAATCTGGGGAAATGTGTGCGTGTGTTTTAATAACATGCTCTTAAAAGGCACGGGGCATGATTTGGAAAATCCTCAGAGAATTTAAATGCCTGTTGAGGCTACTCGACCCGAGGGACAGAGTTTTAGGTCCTTGTAGAACACTTGCGGGGGTGGGACCAGTCACATTTCCATACTGTCTTCTCCAAAATTGGCACTGTCTTCGCGCAGTGGGTTTCTGTGTGTGGTCCTTGGACCGGCGGCTGGCCCCCATCGCTGGGAAAACTGGTAGAGCTGCAGGTTCGCAGGCCTGGCCCTCTGAGTCAGAGTCTCCGCAGGTGTCTCTGAACCAGCCTGTTAGGCGGATGAAATAGAGTACAAAATGTAGTAATAAAATATAATTTAGATGGCTATTTAGTTTATTGTTTATTTCTGAAAAGTTTCAATAATACCAACCAATTCAACCTGCGGATTATGTAAATTTTGAATCTGAAACTAGCCCCGGCCTTACAGTTGAGGTTTCCACGGTCATCCGTCCCCCAGCTCAGGGAGGGAGTCCTGGGTTTCTCCCGTCACCACGCTCGCTGGGCGAGCTCGGCTCTGTGATGTGATGTGGGGGACCTTGGCCGACGTGGTGAGCCAGGCCGTGTCTGGTTCCAGGCTTATGTTCTCTTGATAAAGAGAGAAACAGCGCACACATTGTATCTCAGCCTCGCCCAGGCCCTGGGCTTGTGAGTCACTCTGTGTCCGGTCAAACAGGACACCCCTGGCTCTGTTCCTACTGCTTCGGGCAGCGATGGACTGGAGCAAGTGACCAAGACGTGTGAGCTGCTGTTGTTGCTGCTGTTATGGGCTGTGTTGACGTGGAAGCTTCAGAAAGCTGGGTGCTCTCGCTGCGGATGCAAACCTGAAATGCAGCGTGGACGGTGGCTGCAGGTTCTAGTTTGTCATGAGTCATGTGCTGCCTTGCAGCAGAGCAGGCCCAATGGTCCCGCGGTCTTTGTGTTCCTTCTGTTACATCCTCGCCTTTACTAGTTTCTCCTGGTAAATTTTTACCAGTTTGTTTTACCAGTTTCTACGTCTCCTTTGCTGCAGTACACAGGGTTGTTGTAATCGCTGAGCTGCTCATGTTAAACAAAAATGTCCTCCCAGGGAGCAGGTGGCTCCCCGAAAGCCAGGGCGATGGTGTAAGTTTGCATGCGGTCTCCTTGGAGGCCTGGTCGGTGTACGGACCACAGAGGGGACAGGCCTGGCCAGGGGAGAGGCCCCGTCCAATGGGGAGGCGTGACGTTCCCTGGAATCTGGGTAGAAACTGAGAAAATATCTGCTGGACTCATTCATAAACATGACAGCTTCTGTGTGTGGCCTGTGCCCTTCTTTGCCTGCAAGGTCAAGTTCTTCCATGAATGAGCTCAAAGGATGAGATGGATGTTCCTCTGAAGGCACTTGAGTTGTTGGAGGACGATGTTGTTTCTTCTAGGGTGCTTTGATATGTTATAAGGTCAGGTTTTTTTTAATCCTCACCTGAGGATACGTTAATTGATTAGAGAGAGACATTGATATGAGACAGAAACATTGATCAGTTGCCTCCCATACTTGCCCTTAACCTGGGATTGAACTGGCAACCCAGGTATGTGCCCTGACCAGAAATCAAACCTGTAACCCTTTCGTGTGTGGGATGACCTTCCAACCAACTGAGCCACCTTGCCAGGGCATTTTTTTTTTGAGGGACGTGTTTAATTAATATTCGAAAGGAGAAAACGGTAACGAGTTTGTGTACATCAACTGAATCATAGAAAGCATCGGCTAAACAGTAGGCAAAGCATTTTGTCATGCCTGATATTTCTCGGTCTGGTGCCAGCTGTCTTCTGTTGGGCCGCATGGCTGTGTAGACGTGGGGCAGGCTGGCCCACGTGGGCGGCTGGCTGTGGCTAGGAGGGGAAATGAGGATTTTTATGCGTTATCGATAATCGACCTTGACTTAGTTTACGTTCCCTGGGTTGGGGATGAGCTCCGTGACCTGACCTGGGAGAGGCTGCCTTTCACGAAGCAGCATTTCTTCACTGTAGTGCTTTTGAGTCGCAAGTGAGAAAAACACTCAAATTCCAGAAACATCTAAGCAAGGTAAATGCTGGGAGTTTTAAAACTATTCCTAAAAGTCAGATGGAAAACTCTCAGGAAAAAAGTCAATCCTTGTAACGGCAGCATGGTGAGTCTAGTAGTTGAGAGCTGCCAAGGGAGGAAGTCTGAAGAGTTCTCATCACAAGAAAAACAGTTTTGTAAATACGTGTGGTGACGGTTGTTAAAAAAAAGTCACGCATGCTTCTACTCTGGGGACAGCTCCCGAGAGGAGATATTTTAAAGGAGTTAAAATTTCTAGGTAGATTTTTCTGAGGATTTTTTTAAAATCTGGTGTAATTTCTGAAAGCTTCTAAAGTTTAAAAAATTCTTCTGAAGTTCTTACCCTTTGAATTTGCATTGTATATACTTGAAAAAATTTTATACCTACATAGTGAAAAGAAAGCTTTTTTCCAGAATTCTGTCCTCCAGCGGGCTTCATGGTTTTCGTCTGAGAAGGTCTCCGCCTTCCATATACTTCAGAATAAGAGAAAAATTAAAAACAAACAAATGCAAAAATTCAAAAACAAACAGAAAAAGACCATGGATGATGGAGGACCACCAGTACGAGTTTGCCCCCTTTGGGGGGAGGGTATTTGTACAATAAATTTAATTCCACGTTCTTAAACGATAGCAGCAGTTTGTTACGAAACCTAAATTCTCAGCAGAAAAGAGCATCCCAACACATCAGCTGAACTTCAAGGTAGGTCGCCGATGTTTGCCTCCCCGCAGGTGTGGCGGGAACCAGGAAGTGTCAGCCCTGGGCCCCTGGGAGCCGGACGCTGCCCCTTCTGCTCGGTCTGACTCTCGTCTGTGGGGCCCGGCCCGTGGAAGGCAGCCTTTGGGGGCTGGGACTCAGAGACCCTGGAAGATGCTTAGGCCGTAAGACCCTTGCATCCCTCTTTGTAAATCCAACATAACTTACTGATGGAGAACAGTAAGTGGCAAAGACACACAAACAAATAATGAAATAAGATAGAAAAGAACTACCCGGCAGACAGTATGTCAGACCAAGAAAGCCAGGAGACCAGACTCTGAAGTCTTTGGATAAATTCAGGGTGTTCACTCCACTGAACGCGACTGAATACGATGTGTTTGTTGTAACACTTTTATTTCATAGGGGTAGTTTAATAAGCCTATCTGGAAACAAGGACTTTGGTAACAGGAAACCCGCTCTGAGGCAAATACTTGTTTTGCAAAGGTCAGCGGCAGAGAGCAATGCCGTTTTCAGAACGTGTGATTCTTTGTTTTCACCAAGTGCCTGCCCTGCGTGGTGAGGGTTTGTCCTGAGGCTGCGTTTCCAGTGGTTACTCGTGAAGCCAGCATGTTCCGTACGGGCCCATCTTGGAGTCCGCGTCTGAGTCAGAGTTTCTTCTGCTCATAGGAAATAGCAGGGTAAAGAAAGGCAGGTGGTTGAGCTCTGTTGCATTTCTACAGGCTCTCCAAATGCAGACGCTCTGTGCATTGTGGTCAACGCATCAGGTATCACAAGCTGCTTTTACCATCAGTGTGAATTTATAGATACATACGAAAACGTGCTTATGCATTGTGAAAACCACATGTCCCCAAAACACTATAACTTTGGGAACATGAGGAAATTAGGGGGTTTTATTGAGTTGCATCAGTGTTCTCCTTGTTTTATGTGTATTTTGTGTTTTGATTAATAACTTGATTTCGTTTTAACGGATCTTTTTATTTGTGCAGTTCTTTTCCTGTTTGGCATGCGTACAACACACCATGTTGCTTATTTTAGATTTAGCCGACTGCTTGAGCATGTCGCATATTTCCTGGTATACAGCAGGTGCTTAATAACTCTTGGAACCCACGAACTTAATAGATGGCCATTGTATGAAGATGTTTGCTAATGTCATCCTTTTGCTGGTCCATCTTTTTCCAGTAACCATTTATTTCCAGATAATTAAGAGGGGCTTATTATGGGACGTTTGAGAAAGAAAATATCAATGTGGTACCCTAGTTAATATGGACCTTTAAACCGTTTAAAGTGGAAAAAGGATGGTGGACACATAAAAACAAAGTGTGTAAAATAAAACAGACAGCTTTTCTGGGGGTGTGTATGGTGTGAAAATGAAAAAGGACTTGATAAACAAGACCAAGGGTACATCTTCAAAAATGGTTTCTGCTCATAAAGATGCTCATTAATAACTTAATTATTTCCAATGGATCAGTCTCCTTCCTTGGAGAGGTTCCACATTTGTTTCAATGTCACTTCCTCCATTGTGGCTGAGCTGCAGAAAGGCTGACCTAGGGACCCTCCCCTACCCCAGGCGCTTAGTGCAAAGGCCACAGACGTGGCAGTTGTTCACGCTCCCTGCCTGTGACCCATCTTGAGTAGATCAGAGAGGATGCTTGTCTTCTGTGCCTGTCGGCATCGTCTCTGTGGCCACGCTGACGCTCTTTATCCTCTCTTTCTAGTCATACAGTTTATCAAGAAAGAAGATAGTGCACTACACCTGTTTCGATCAACGGAAAAGAGCGAATGCAGCGTTTTTGATAGGTGCTTACGCCGTAAGTACTGCCGCTGAGACTGTTTTCTGTAAGGGGCGCTACCACGGCTGCGTGTTATCCTGGCCACGTGCGCAGTGGCCTTGGGAGCAGGTGAAGAGTCTTAGCAGCCTGGGGACAGATCTAGAATGGAAAGTGTGGACCCGGTACTGAGGGGCCGTCCCCTCTTGGATTTTACTTTCAGGAGCTAATGACAGACCCTTGGCATTGCAGTGCTTGGAATTGTGTTGGCGTTGCGTAGCTTGGAGTCCACGGCTGTACGAGTCTTGTAATAAGAAGAATGCCCAGAAAGGGGGGATTAAAGGAAATCCTCGATTGAATGGGAAGGATGATGGTTGTTATTTTTACCCATAATCCGTTTATTCATCCATCAGGTGTTTGTAGTAGGCAAACGAAACAGAAACCCTGCATATACTGCCGTTTTGCTCATAACTAGATAAGACTTTTCCAAGCTAATTTTGATTAGAAATTTCATTCTTTGTACACACGAGAGGTCGGCGGGAGTTCCATGAGAATATGCCGCCTCTGCAGCAGGGCCCTTAAGGTCCTCCCTGACGGGCCTGTCTGTCCCCGGCGCCTCCCCACTCAGATGGTCCGTCACGCTGGCCTGGCGACCGCAGACTGCCACGCCGGTTCCCAGCAGAGGCCTCGGTACTTCTGCTCCCTCTCTCTGGAAAGTTCTTACCCCAGACCATGCACTCCTGGTAGCTTCTCATGCTACCTCCTCGGAGAGACTTTCCCTCCTGTCTACCTGCTCCTGCACCTCCAGCCACCCTTGAGCCCTTTGCTGTTTTACTTTCTCCGCCGCACTGTGTTTGAAGTTCTCCAACTCATGTATGCAGTTACTTGGTTATCATCTCTCCCCCGGACCAGAGGGCGGCGTCCTGGCCCGTTTCACTCCCTGCCGTGTCTAGTAGGTGATAAAATATCTAACAAGGGGTCAGGCCCAGGCATTTGCAGGCTGGAAGCTGGCCACAAGGGAGCCTCCCTGCCGCGCTGAGTCCTGGGAAAGTCCAGGGTGGGGGGCATCCCAGGAAGGAGATGAGGCGGGGCCAGCATGCAGGGCGTGGGGTGCTGCTGGCTGGGGAACTATGGAACTATTTCAGCATCTGAACTCTGAGCATCAGCTGAGAACTGTGCCCGGCACACAGTGGGCGCTGCATGACTATCTCCTGAAGGAAGAAGTAAAGGAGTGATAAAATGTCAAAGAAAGAAGGAAGGTGATGTCAGAGGAAAACTCTGAAAACGATCAAATTGGCTAGAAAGTCTAGATAATACCCGTCACCGTACACAGTGACGTAAAGTTTTTTCTTGGGATGAGTCCTGACCGTTTTTAAGTGTGCAGTTCAGTGGCGTGAGGCACATTTGTGATGTTGTGCAACTGTCAGACCTTGCTTTTCAGTGTGGGGTCTCGTGGCAAATAAGCGCCTACAGAGCCAGGGCTTTGCGTGTGGTCCCCCGCTCGGCTGTAAGTTTCATGTGTCACCGAAGCTTTTGTGTTTTCATTGCCTTATCTCAGCGCTTCCCTGAGTGTCAAGAAGGAGATAATATAGAGAACAGCCTGCTCAGCAGGAAAGCCACAGACACTCCTCGGTGGGGGATGCGGCAGCCAGGGCTGCAGGGGAGACTGCCCGTCGGAGGTCGCAGTGGCGCTGAACGCTAATGGGCACATGTCCGGGGAGCCCCACTCACGAGCACCCCTTCTCCCCGAGCTGTGACGTGTGCTCCTGCGGGCGGCGGGCTCAGAGTCTGAGGAGAGAGCAGCTTCGCAGGAAGGCACGTCTCCCCCAGGACGGTGCTCCGTGCGGCTCACGGTTCAGGGCCTGGATCCCCCTGCCTCCCAGATACTCTCAGAGCGGTTTGAACAGGATGGTTTTAAAAAATCATAAGCATGAGTTAACTAGGCTCTTGCCATGTGCTTGCAGACCAAACCCTCACTAGTGACCGTATTGTTTTCAGTTCCCAGAACGGTGGTAAAGGGGTCAAGGAGAATTTGGGCCAGGCCGTGAGGACGGAAGGGTGGAAGATAATGTGTTTGAGGGGTGGTTACCTGGAGGGCAGTGGTTTGGCTTAAAAAATTAAGTGCAGGGGTCGAGGATCAGGATTTTTTTCCGGGCTGTGGAGGCTGCTTGCACAGAGGAGGCAGCCGGGTGGGATTTTCCTTGCCCGCCTCGTTCAGTCTGGAGCCCACGTTGCTTAGCCAGAGTCTGATTCCAGAGGAACGCGGGCTGGCCCGACCAGGTGTCACGTCTGCGTCCAGGGGACAGGGCGAAGGTTTGTAGACTTTTTAACCGCGTCTGCGTCTGCCGTTGATACCGTAGATTCCGCGGGAGGCGTTGGTGGCTACCTTCTACCTTAAGTCTCCTGCTAATTTCAAGGACGCCGCTCTCCACCTGGTGTCGCAGGTGGGAGCATGGCTTGAGCAGAACCGTAAGCTCGACCTTGAACCCTCTGCTTAGTTGTATGCCTTGAGCAAGTTGTTTAACTCATCTGAACTCCTGTTTTGTTTTGTTTTGTTTAACCCTAAAACAGAGATAACACCCCACCTAACAGCTGTAGTGCGGCTGAGGGTGAGGTGGTGGCTCTAGGCAGGAAGTTTGCGTGGCCTTTGGCGTCCACGTTTTCTCAGCTATTGTCTTTCCCTCAAGAACTGAAGGCAGTTTCCCCCTTTTTGTCTGCTTGTCTTTCCTCCTTTCTACCCCTTTTTACTCTTAAATCCTGCCTTCGCTCAGCAGCTCTGAGACCGGTGTCTGTCACCGGAAGGAGCGGAGGGTGACCTCCCCTGCCCCGCCCCTCCTTGTATGTTATTTCCATTTTAAAGGATGATTGCCAGTCCAAGTGAACTCCTCATTTCTGAGATGTGTATTCAGGCATTCATTAATCCAGTAAATATTTATTTAGCTCAGGTGAGCCCTACCCGGCACTGGGAGGGCTCTGGAGACTATAAGGACAACATTTAATTGTTGATATCTCATTGTTTTACTAATCATTTGTTTATTAGTAATGAGGTTTATTATCCCTGTCGTTTTATTTACAGGTTTATTCACGTTTTGAAGAGTTTGTGTTGTTTAAATTTGTTTCCTGTATTTGGATCATTAAAAGTTGAAAAGTGATGATCAGTCTCTTTTCTTTAAAAAAAGAAGTTTCCTGTGTCTAATTGGTACGAATAGATGTAGACCCCTAGGAATCATACCCATCTGTCCATGTTTCTGTAAGCAGTTAGGAAGTTTATATACCTTAAACTCTGTTCCTTATTAAAATGCCATATTAATAAGTACTTCCGCATACCGGAATATGAAGAGGGTTAATTGGAACTGCTGATAGTGGACCTGTTGCCTGTTCAACCTGTGCAGTCTACTGATTATGTAGAAAATGAGCGTCAGAACATACATTATTTAGAAGTGGTTTGTGTGTACATGTTTTAAATCACCGGAAAATGGCAAACCAGGGCAACTAACCCTGAGTTTGTTTGTTGTTTTCGTTGTTCGGATCAAGGACGTTCATTTCCTTCATCTGCAGCTCACAATGCATCTGTCAGTTGGCAACGTCAGACCGCTTTAAAATGCCAGCACAAAGCTACAGGTTAAACAACGGTTATTTAAAATCACGGGGGAAATTATCAAGAAAAATGTTGGCTCAAAATAATAAAGGCATTTACCTTAAAAGGACTGTGACCAAGCGGGCGTCCGCCACTCGTGCCCTCGGAACCTCAGTGGCGGCTGCGGTGGGTCTAAGGGTAGTGTTGACTTCTGCTGTGGACGGGGAGGGGCACCTGGCCCGGCAGGGCGACTTCCGGTCTCCAGTTCCTTCCTTTTATGGCTTCGTGGGCAGGAGGGCTTTTGTGACAATTGCCTGCACGTGGGCCAACAGGCTCTTCTCCTTGTCGGCTTGTGCTTTCGGTGACTTTGAGACAAGTCAGGCTCCTGAAAATCACACAGCCTGTTTAATTCTCAACTCTGTGAATCTGGAAATTCTGTTAGTCTTCTGCAGATGGGTAGGGTGATGTTATCTTTTATTCAGTTTAGCTGCGGGCTAGGAAAACTAGCTGTTTGCTTTTCATTTGCGGAAGGGTTGTTTCTCAACTTTAACTGAATACATCTTTTCAGGATTTTTTTTTTTTAATTTTCCTTTTTGCTTCTAGATAACAAGCTTCCTCTCTGCTGTAAATAAACCCTCAGATTTACCACCACTTCACACACACAGTATTCAGTACTATACGTATACTTAAGTGTGACACACCGCATATGTTTACAGCAGCTTACTCACACATTTTTTGAATCTTACTAGACCTTTACTTTCCGTGTGAAAAAGCTTATGTCCGTTCATTTTATTGATACCCTGAACGGAGAGGAATGTACTTTTTGTGTGTGTTCTGGAAGTCGTGGGAGGAATTCCCAGCAGCCACAGGGATGGAGAATGGACTTCCTGTCTGTTACGCATAGTAGGTCTGTCTGCAGTAGCTCTGTGGGTTGCATTTAAGGCACTTCTGCTCGAAGCTGCCTTCATTTGTTTCAGTTCTACTGTGTGTGACATTAGTAAACCACTCAGGGAACATGGTTACTGCTTAAAAAATGAATAGACATTGAAGAATGATGAGTTCTATTGTGTTCTTGAAGGGCCCTTCGGGCACGTGGCCATATGTGAGCAGCCGGGCCGATGCACGGCCCAGTGGCCACAGAATCCTTTCTGCAAACACCAGGCTGACTGTGCAGCTCCTATTTCTCCTGCCTTCTCTAAGCAACGACTCTTTGTAAATACTCGAAGGGAACAACCAGTTCCTTGTTTTGTGTTCGTTGTTGGTTTTCTATTCTTCAGTGCACTCAAAGACTAGCAGCCTACAGGTTACTATGAGGTTCAGGATCTGAGATTTAGTTCCCAAGCTTTGTCTTAGAAGTTTGGATAGCATCTCACCTACAGACTTCTTCAGTTTGAAAAAGAGTAAGATGGCCTTTTTTTGTTTTTGGTCCCTCAGGTACATGCTCTAGTTAGTAAAATGAATACAA